ACTTGGACCAACAATTTTTATTCAATTACTTAATTAGTTAAGTAGAGTGAAAAAGTACCACTAGATATATTATAAAAATTCCTTTCAGCGTGCCTTGTATGTTTTCTATTTGCACAAATATCTCTAGAAAAGACAAATGATCAAACGAGTTAGAAAAGGCAAAAACGATGCAGTTGATTGAAACTTTGTAGCTTGTGCATAATTTTACCATAAATCCAGTTGTACCTCGAGATTCTTTTTATGCTTGCCAGAATTACCTCAAACATACGTAGTTTGGTGTGTTATGATAGCCCCATAGCTAATTAGCTTATCAGCTGTAACAAAAATGTAGATTTTGAAGCTTACTTTTGAAGTTGATTTTAAGGTTTTTCATCATAGTTTTGTTTTTAGCATTGGCTTTTAAATCACTAAGAACATCTATATATAAAAAAAAACTCTACTCATAAAGTATTTTTGTTCCTTCGTTCTTTTTATTCCTTTTTGGTTGCAAAGAAATATAGAAGTTTTCATTTATGATTAAATTTGTAGTTTTACGAAATTTACTACTCTACATAATTTAGAAGCTAGTACACATAAGTTCTTCTGAAAGGAATATTAATTGTTCTACTCAATATGTAAGGCTCATCATAGAGAGCAGGTGTAATACACATGCAAATGTACGTTGATGCCCTAGCTAAGTAGCTAGTGCAATTGTTCTATATATGATGCCCTCTCTTGATCATTCCGTTGGGTGATGATCCGACATATCATGACCCAAGTGTGCAACGCCGCATCATTTCCACACGATCTAAGCTGACCAAATTCACAAATATGGACTCTCACTCGAGTGGCGAGCATAGTGGATCATCGTTTCGAATCGATTGAAGTGATTGCATGCTTTGATCCCTATATTCCTCTTTAGTTGTTTCGTCGCATCAATATACATTGAGCTAACTCTAGCTAGACTGTATGTCATCACTAGGTCTGTTTAACTTGGTTTATAGTTACATGGTTTGTTATCACTAGGCTCGGCCTTCGCCTTGTCCATCAGCAAGACGGCTGCATTAGCGCCGCCCTCATGTGTCTCGGCTGCGTGCTTGTGGCTGACTCTGACACCACGGCGCATCGGGCCCTCTCCGGCACCTCGACTGCACATGGGCCTCCTTTGGCACCTGCTCTGGCTCCAGCCATACCCTCCTCCTCAACAGTGTCACTCGTGCTAGCCGCCATAGCCGCCATGACCATGGCAATCGAGGCCCTCTCCTCGGCCTTCGCTTCTGCACCCACCTTGGTTACCTCTGCCTCCACAACCTCCTCCGCTGCTCTCGTCCTCATCATGGGTCTCGTCATCATCCTCCTCCTCAGACGATGGTTCCTTGTCGGAGTCCTTTTGTGAGGACCTATTGTACTAGGGATAGAGGTCACTATTCCATTCATCTTTACGCATTTCGCCTAGCAATGCTGGCAGCGATAACGATGACAAGAAATCATTGGTGGTGTCCCGCCATTGTTCTCCTCCTCCTCATCCTCCTTGCTGGTGGTGATATACTAGGGCTAGCATGACGAGTCCGCTATTGTTAGAGAGAATGGAGAAACATGAAGATTGTGGAGAGTGAGAGCAAGTCCAGAAAACCCCTATTCCCCTCTATTTATTGGAAAATGGAAGCAGAGTAGGAGGTAAGGAGATGCAGCGTGGTAGTGGAGGACATGACCGAGGTCCGGTAGTTCATCTTTTGAGGAGTTCACGTGATAACCGATGGTAGAGGATGTAGTTGAAGCAGTGGCGTGAGAAAGACAAAAATATAAGGCATAAGCGGGCTTTTAAGAGCACTGCCTAGAAACTCTCATAGATATGGGTGGGCATCTTAACTGCGCCGCACATGTGAATAAACCGATTTTGTAGGCAGAGTCTTAGGACTACTGCCAACAAAAATTGCATTAACACGGGCGTCCGTTTAAGATAGCCGACCGTGAAAATTTTTCTATCTATGCAGGCAGCCGTCTTAGCCAGCCTCACGTGTTATTTTGTTTACACAGACGGTTCTTGATCCCTCTAGAATGATAAACTTAAAGTAGATAGTTTGCATTTTAGTCCACCTATGAAATTAAGGCTAGGGCCAATAAAAATCATTTTCCTACTAGTGTTATAAGAGGCATGAAACCATTTTTTTTCTTGATATTGGCAGCATTCGGCATAGCACTTGATAGTGTAGATATAGTTGTGTAGCCTGGCCTGCCATTGAACATGCTCGGAGTTGGCTCTGCCGCTGCATTTATCTACATCTATCTAGTCAGACAAACAACATCATATAAGATTTCTTGTTGCCATTGGATATGTGTATAATGCCATATTATATAATGGTAACCAGCTTCATTGTTTTTGTATGTCTAGACCATTTATATTTTTCCTATTTTTATACAACATAAATGCCATTATTTTTCATAGTAGATATCTATACTCCTTTAAAAAGACCTCAATGGTGGTTGTAGTGAATATGTCACTTCACTTACTCTAATTGTCATTTTTAAATATTACCTCTTGAAATTCTTAATATTGTAAAACAACTAAATCTAAATGGTAGCCACATATAAAATTAAATTAAGGTGAGTTTATAGTATTCTCTATAGCCAAAAGGTGGGCAACATATTTCATTAAAAATATGCTTTAAGTTGTTTAGGTAATATTGTAATACTTTTCATTTCATATGTAGCAAAGAAGGGCATTTAGCTAGCTAGTAATAATAAATATCTATAACAGTACAATTTCAAATATGTTCCTTCTAGATCTTGGAAACTTGTAAGTTGTAACATTTATTTTATGAAACCTTACAACATTATTTATTCACGATGTAAGAGACAACTGAATTAGAAGGGACGATCGACAGGGGAAAAATCCAAAATTTGGGTTTTAGAGAGAAACATTGTCACTTGCTTTAATTACAAGAGAAGAGTAGAACACCGAATATATAACTAGATAGTAGATCAACATACATATCCCCTCTATTCCATAAAAACCAAATCTAGTATGGGACGTGACATATATTTCTAGTACTGCAAATTTGAAAAGTGTGTCACATCCCGTTCTATGTATGCTTGTTTTTTTATGGAACAAATGTAGTAGATCTCATGATGTACTGTGAGAACATCAATATCTCATTAAAAAAAGTTGGTGAGTAGGCTGGGAATATGCTTCCATTATCAAAAGAAAAGGCCAGCGCAAAGAACTATCACCATCGGCAATTAATTAAGTGCATTTTTCCACATATACAGAAAACTTATTCCTCCATGAGATTGGTTAATTGATATATATATATATATATATGACACTCATATAGGGCACCATGGTGCCCAGGCACCATGGTATCTAATGCACAAAATTACTCAAATTTTTCAAAATTTTCAAATTGTGAGTATATACCTAGTTATAATAATTTGATTCATACCTATACTTATCAACAAAACAACTCAAATTTAACTTTATTTCACAATCCATGATTACATACCTAACTAATTATATGTATGGATGCTATATACCTAGAATCAAAATCTAACAAAAACAAGTTCAAATTCAGTTCAAACTTGCTTTAAACTAGTTAGTAAAGTAGTTAATGTTAATACCTAAGTAATTGAAAAAGTTTCATACTCATTTGAATTGGGTATATACTCAATTTCAACAATGGTGCCCGGGCACCATGGAGCACCAAACAAATTTAATATATATATATATATATATATATATATATATATATATATATATATATATATATATGCGCCGGCCATATATATCCCATTCTCATCCCATCTCTAGACTCTCATCTCTCATCTAGGGGACTAATCATTAACAATTGCCGGCTTATATATGTTAATTAATTTGTAGCTACACACACTCATTACAAACACGTGCAATAATCACCACACCGTATCCTAACTAAAGGATCACAAAGGACAACAAAGGTCTTCAAGAACCTAGAACAACATATATTTTCCATACATATAGAATTACAAGATCAGATTAGCATGCAACGTCCATCACACGATTATATATATATATGGCCATAAACAAAGTTCAGGAATCAAGAACCAAACCATTAAAATACTATTTTCCAGATCATCTCTTTTTGTAAAAGATATATGAAATCTTGTTGGAGAATTGAACATCTACAGTAGACTATATATAGCTAGTAGTGAGTGCATGCATGCACATATATATGCAGGTATATGTGTAGTATGATCATATCATATCTGTGCATATGTATTGGAGCTCTCCCATTTGGAAATTCCCGGTGCAAAGTTGGGGTTGCAAGCAATAATTAAAGGGGAATGGACAACAAGTACTGCACCTTGGTGGAGGAGATGATGGCTTCATCCCCACCACGAGCCAGCTAGCTCCATGCACATCCATGGCAGCCAAGAAAACACAATCACTCCCAAAAATTAGATGCAAATTAAAGGAGCTTGTTCCTGGTACATATACATATGCTGAGCTTTCCAGTACAGTGTATTTCAAGAAGATACAAATAACCTTAATTAATTGTGTTAATTCTGTACACAATATTAGAGAGAAATTATTTATGTTTAGTGCAGATAAATTATTTTTAAAGACAAATTGACAAAAACAATCGTGAGGAAAATTAGTATTAATTTTAATCATGGAACATTTAAATTCTTGTATCGTTATATTTTTAATTGCATGAGCCTAATTTTTTTTATGTATTTAACATTAAATTAAGCTTGCTAGCGTGTGGAATATATTTTCGATGTAGAGGTTGGATTTATTTTTTTCTAAAAAATAGTATAGCTCGCATTATGGTGTTAATTAATTATATTATAATAATTCTCTCAATTTGTCGCCTACTTCCAGTTCCATTTGTATTCATGTCACCAATATCGTCGTGTTGCTGGCATTTTTTGTCCCTGAGCTTTTAGTTGTATTGTAGCCGTCCCCGTATAAGAAACAAACAAAGCGTGATTGATGGCTATCTAGGTACATATAAAACAACATGATGGAACCACAACCCTAGCATGGTCACACACATATGGCATCTACATCTCCCAACCTTGCACACATCGATCATCATACTCCCATCCTTTTACACAAAATCTTGTATGAAATCATTGCTAGCTAGCTAGCTCCTCCCATCTCTCTCTCTTTTGCCCACACTCTTTTCACATCTATGTATCTATATAGCTACATATATATATGCACACATCTCCATTGATCTCTCATCAACCACTAGTGCACCATCTTATATTCTTCCTACATATTCATTCTCCCCACAACAACAACTAACACTACTCACTCTTCATTGCTTTTTTTTTTCTCTCTCTAGCTAGCTAGCTTGCTTCTACTTCTTCTTCATCTTGATCTTGAAACTAGTCTTATCAATCTGAGGAATTAATCCATCATTATGATGAATCTTATATCATTTGAAACACCTCCTCTTGGGAGGAGGAGTCAAGATGGAGGCAGCAGCAGCAGCAGCATCACTGCTGCTACAACCACTACCAACAAGGCAAAGGAAGCAGCAAGCCATCTAGACCTCAGCCTCGGCATCTCCTTGTCACCCGGCGGCGGCGGCGGCGACGCTGGCACCAAGGCCAGCAGCTGCTGCTACGGCGGCGGCGGCGACGGCGGCGGCTGCATGGGCAGTGGCATGCTCACTGCAGGAGTTCTTGGCGTTGGGCATGGGGGGAGTAGCCATGACAATACTACGGCGAGCAGCGGCGGCGGCGGCAGCTGGACGGCGGCGTTCATGCCGAGCCCGACGGGATTCATGCACCCGTGGAGCCTCGCCGCCCGGCAGCAGAAGGCCGCCGCCGAGCAGGAGCGGAGCGGCGTCGCGAGGCTGCCGCCGGCGACGACGACGTACATGCCAAGGTGAGATATATTTTTTACTGATGATTAATTAAAGTGTTAGTTAAAATTATATGTACGTTGGACAGAGCTAGATTCAGTTTAATTGTAGCAGCAAAGTAGTACAATTAATTAATATATACGTGCATGAATGTGCATGATGCATCTGCATGGTTGAGACTTGAGACTGAGCCAAAATGTAGTTTTTGTTCAGCACTGCAAACCTAGCTGAAGTGCTAAACACATCGATCTAAAATGTTCTAGCAGATGGACATGTAACATTTTTCAAGAGTCTTGCTGGAAACTGGTACACAAATAGATAGTTTTCTTGTGGCCAGTGTTGATCTTCTATGGACAACTTTCTCTAATCACCTACAAATATACTTAATCCTTTTCAGAGTATAATTTGTTTTGGTTTTATCCCAAGTTAAATTTTGACTTCTTTAAGTTAAATCAAGCATATTGAAAAGTGTAACAATATTTATAATAACAAATTTATTTCATAAAATCCTTTGTTATGTTTCTATAAATATATATATTTTTTCGTGTTCAAAATGTTGATACTACATTTTTTTTCATACACTTGGTTTGTACTTGAAGAAATTTAATTTAGGATAACAGCAACCCATCCTATATTCTGAAATGGAGGGAGTATTATGTTCTCTTCATCAGTAATATATTGCTACTTGATTAGAGTATATTTGTGTAATCAAGATATAATCTAGTTCTACATACTTGAAGGGGAGAGCAGATTCTAATTGACCTACACGTACAACGAATGATTGCAATCATGAACATTTTGCACCACTCATAGTTAAGTATTTTGCAGATCCTCGTGGGGTTAGAACTACACATTTAGAAATTATTGCGAATAGATTCTCTTTTGTGTGCACGGAGGACTAGTTCATGGCATGCATGTAACGTCCATATGTCAAGATCACTCTACTTAGTAGCACGGTGAATCTTTTTTTTTTCATACTTAGGAGCCTCTACATCAAGATGTATTCAGCCAATTAACACACCGGGGCATCACATATAGTACAGCATTTTAAGCAAAAGGAAACTTATATAGGGATTACTTCCATGATAAAACACACTTATATATTTATATGTTCAAGCAATAAGATGAGATTGAAACGGTCAGTGCAATGAAGATAAAAATAATTTTCTCAAGAGGTAGTTTAAGGATTGGCAATAGCATGTAAAAATATATTTTCTCTTTTATTTTACAGTAGTTTGCTATGGTTGCGGTACAATTTAGTGACTCTATAAAATATCTCTACTGTCTTATAGACATAAAAAAAACCCCATAGAAACATTTTATAAACTACATTTTCATATGTAGCTAGAGAGAATTCAACAAAAGTCACTTATGGGGCATTTGGAAAAATGCCTCTGCAGTATTAGAAAAATATCTCTATATAAGACATTTTTGTTGTTGTGTTTTTAGTCAACTCGAAAAATGATATAAAATTTTATATATCCACTTATTTTCTATCCACGGTACAGTTACTTCACTCTATCGAACATTCATGATGTTTAGCTCATGATGCCTTTTATGTTCATAAATGGAAATGAAGATGTTAGCTAAAGGTTTACACTAATGATATACTGAACTATGAAGCATCACAATCTTCAAACAGCTTTATCCTGTATACCTAGTCAAAATAACTTTGAAAATTAAAGAAACACACTACGTTAGCTTTTTAGTTTTGCATTTTCCACTCATTTTTCAAACAAAGATAAATATCTATTTTGATTAAAAAATTGTTGTGTAAGTAATAGAAACAAGTAAATGTGTAATAGTCTTGTCAAGAAAATTCGAATTTCCCCAACAGGTAATCTGTAAAATTAGCAGCCGTCAGGGCTAATCTTGTTTCCGGCATTGAATTTTTACAAGAAAAAGCATGTAATTTCTCCATGTGTTTAAGTATCTCCTTATTAGGAATTAAAACAAGGTAACACAACTGAATTAAAACCTTATATATCCAGAGTGAATAGAATAGAGTAAATTTATTAATATAGATATATATGAAAAGTATGCTTTTGGAATGTTACTGAGCTGGGCAGAGCTAGAAAACAATATAACCATAGATTGCGCTGGAAGTCGTCTGGTCAGCTCACTCCGGCTGTTGTACTGTAGCTCCACCCCTGCAAAATGAATGTGTAAAGAGATTTCTTATAGTTCTGCACTCCTGCCTTACGTTGTAGTGTTAATTTCCTGTAGCTGTAGGTACCTCAACACTAGAAGGGCACTAGCAAGATATACTGCAATTAAATTTGTAAAATAAATTAATACTCCGTATGATTCCAAATGTAGGTCGGTTTAGATCGATTTATCCGCTCTTCTGCCATACATACCTTCTTTTTTTCCCCTTTTATGCCCTTGCTAAATAATGTCGCACTCTGTATAAATAAGGTATCACTTCCAAAGTATAATACTAGCAAAATCGTAGCACAATAACATCATTTGAACATTTCTTAATTCATGTGCACTACTCATTTGTGACTAGAAAAATATCCGTGCGTTACAACAGGTAAATGCTATTTTAATTTTATTGTTGTTATACGGTTTAGTTAGCGTAAAATTCACTTTGGGAATTTGCTTCGATATTTCTTTTTGAAAACCATCAGTTGCAATTAGGAGACTGTATATCATCTCAAGTTGGCATGAGAGTTTTTTTAAACAGATTTCTTATACAACTCCTTTTGTATTTATAAAAGCAAATGAGCTTAAAATCCAACTCAAATTAACACGGATCTGTATTTCTAAAAGTGAACGAATTTAAAAACTGACTCAAACACGAATGCCGTACCAAAATACCGGTAAAAACATCTTTAATTTTTATAATAGTAGAGATAGAGATTAGAGGAAGAGAAGAATACTAATAATTCCTCTCCAAATTAAAGGGAAAAACAAAAGGTGCATGCACGAAATGGTTGGGCCTACAAGAGGGGAATTTTCACTGCAGGGGAGCAGCAATGATGAGGGTAGCATGGGTTGCTTGATTGTAGGCAGTGTAGTGCAGTCTTTTTGGTAAAACGACTTTTCTGTCTCTATATGGATGTGTGCTCTAATAATTGGACATCTGTGTGGTTGATGTGAACATATTTTTTTCCATTTAATTAATTCAGGAAAAAAAATTAGTTCATGCAAAAATTAAATTTAAGACAGAGAATTTGAATGCAAGGTTTTAAAAATCACTTGTTTCCCCTAGCAATGCCCATTTCAAGATGATTATTTGATGTTGTGCTGTTAATCTCTGGACCAATTTTACTCATGTCTACTTGTCCTTGAGTTGTACTAATATATTTGAAAGGAAAAAAATAATTTCATCCTAAAAAATCTCTTTTAAATTAAAGGCTTCCATATATACATTTGCTCATAGTTGTGCTAAATTACTGCACAAAGTTGTTTTCTTTGACACTGAATATATATTTTTTCTGCAACATTTAGAGCTGCCGCGACCGTGATTTCACTGCCGGCGGCAGTTGGCTGGCCACCGGTGCACACATCCCGGCGTAACCTCGTTGCCACCATAAATAATGTCCTGAAACCCGACACTACTGCCGCCGTCAAGCCGGACAGACCGACACAAGCAACGGCGATGTTCGCCGCCGACGAAACCACGGCGCCCCCGCCAAGGAGCGCGGCGGCGGCGACCGAGGCCAGCAGGACATTGAACATGTTTGCCAAGGTGCACATGGATGGGTACAAGGTGGGCAGGAAGATCAACCTCAGGGCACACCGCAACTACGACTCCCTCCGTCGGGTCCTCACCAAGATGACTCATAATTTCTTCTGCCGTGAGTACCCTATATTTCTTTTTTACTTTTTTTTAATTACTGGATAGACACAGACGCACACACGTATCACTAGACTCGTAACACCACACTTACACCTCCACAAATACACTCCCTAATATATCATTATCTCATTAAATTCTGAGTACCCCATATTTCAACTCTATCTACAACAAAGTGCCTTGGTATCATATCTATCTGTTCTTTAACTCCATAGATATATAATATATATTTTACAAGGGAAATAGGTAGAGTTAGTTATGTGTATGATTTAGGGTAGATACCAAACACATTAAAATGATTCTGGTCCCGTGACCAAGATAGAATTAATTAAAATGCAGACATGGCCCATGAATCGTATTATGTGACATGAGCAAACTAAACATAGTTTGGTCCCACCTCATAGAGTCATAGGTTTTGTCTTTTTAAGGAAGGTTAGAGCATGCTAATTGTTTAGGTCCAATTGAATTTACAGGTCACCCCTTGAGCAGTCAAACAAGTTCTTCAAACTCTGTAGTAATTTGTGCTAGTCCAACTAGCCTCTCAAGAGTTATTTGCTCATTTTTCTCCATTTGTTTGAATGAACATGTCACAATAATATCTTGCAACTCAATAGTTAATTTATATCTTGCATGTTTTTAGAAGAGTCAACCATCTCGGCCCTCGTGATTACCCCATGATTGTGCTAGGTTTTAATTCATTTACCTTTAATTAACTATGCCATTGTAAGTTTTTCTAGTTTGGGTTTTTTTATAAATTAAATCAAATCTATTCTTCTATAGTAATTTGCATAAGCTCCCTACCCTTTTCGAAGGTTATGCGTACACGGAACATCCAACCTATAATGACTTGGCTAGAAATAATATCTAAGTAAAAAATGTTCCAAGTAATGAAGTGAATGCTATATTGCTTTTGGATTTTTTTTATTGTACTACTAATATAAGGTATTAAAATGATTGTTCAAAATACTAAGTTCTTTTTCATTTCACAAAATTCAGCCGCAGATTATTCAAGCACAAATAAGGGAGAAGAAGATTGTGCTAAAAGTGACGAGTTCATATTTCTATATGAAGATTTTGAGGGCGACCGAATGCTTGTTGGCGATGTCCCATGGGAGTAAGTATTTTTGTTAAAATAATTGATAGCTTTTTTATGCACTATTGTTGTTACAAAGTAATCCATCTCACTTAAGTTGTTGTCTCATGTACAAGTTATTGTTTCATGTTAATTTGTTACTTCACAAATGCCATCCATAATAATATCGAAAGTGTAATAAAATGTTTCTCGTATAAGGGTGCAATAACATTCTTGGGGCTCATGAGGGAAATATGTTACTATGTCTGACTCACTAGTTCATTAATATTGTTTGCACATTCATAATTAATAAGATGTAAAAGGAGAAAACCTTACTACACAATTAGTTTTCGAATATACAACAACTTTAAAATGCCCAAGTAACTGTGCAATTTTGTAGGTTGTTCCTTGCATCAGCAAAAAGGTTGTACATTGCCAAAAACCCAGCACCCAGAAACAAAGGTACCTACAGACCTCTTGTCTGGATATGCATGCTGCTTCCAAAAGCTCCATATTGAAATGCTTCTTTTACGTGTTTGCTGTGCAATTACTTTGCAGAACATGCTGAAATCGCCAAAAGGAAAGAAACTGAAGATGCAATAGATAACTGAAGGCACCTGAAAAGCAAGTTGATCTCTGCATATACTACAATATGCACTTCTCATGATCTGACATATATAGCTCTCGACTTGTGCTGTTCATCTTGTATTATAATAAGCTATCTTCGAAGAGTAGGTTTATAATGTACGGATGCATGTTAAAATGCTTCTTGATCACTGTGCATACAATTTTGCGGGCATTAGGTAAGTACTCTGAAAAATGTACTAGACACGGATTCAGTATGTCTACACAAAGTGGATAAGACTCGTCTAATAATTAACTACGTTCTTGCTTGCTATATTTTCCATCCTTTTAAGTTGCAACTCTGTTATGTTATATGTTTGTACGTTCAAATAGTTGCATTAACTGTACAGTGTGTACCTCTGATTTATACCAAGAGACAAATAAAATCTCGATTGACTGTACAGTGTGTACGTAAAAGTATATATTTTACAATAAACCATCAATCAAAATCATCGTCTACAATGTGCATCATACAACTATAATTAAATATTAAAACCATTAGCGTTTCAAACTTCACCTGAATTTAGAGAGGTTTTTGTGCAAGGTGGCTGTGATATTTTAATTTCTAAAATTACTAAATGACAATAACTGTTGAAGAAAAACATTATTGCACATTGGATCATGGAAACTAGTTATAGTAAATTAAAATTTATTTACCTCACGAAAAATGGTTTTTCTTTTAGGTCAATTTCTATTTTTTGCAAGCTAGCTATTCATTATTTTGGACTTAATTACAAACTTTTACATGTTACAAATAATTCAAAAAGCTTATCATAACGTTTATATATTTTTTCTAAGTCGCTTATTAATTTAAAATTTTAAAAACTTTACTCTCTCCGTTTCACAATGTAAGTTATTCTAGCATTTCCCACATTCATATTAATGGTAATGAATCTATACATATATATCTATCTAGATTCATTAACATCAATATGTATATGGAAAATGATAGAATGACTTACATTATGAAACGGAGGAAGTATTAACCTTTAGCTAAATCAGCCTGTTAGCACCGAATTTCAGAAAACTACATGTACTTTTATCAATATGTCATAATACTACAGATTTAACACCATATTTTTCACAAAACTATATATTTAAGGTATCGTATCATAGCACTACGTATATAACATTAGCTTTATCACAAAACTGCAACTTTTGTAACCTCAATAGTGATATGAATATAAACTCTAAAATCTGTACTTCTTTGATAACTTCACCACTAAATCTATAGTGTGTGATATGATGTTAAATATGTAGTTTTGCCTTAAATTTAGTGTTAAATTTGTAGTTATGTGACATACATATTTAAATCTATAGTTTTCTGATAGTTTGGTCAAAGTATATGTAGTTTTTAGAAATTTACTCTAAATATGGACCAATGTTCAAAAATGAGTGGCTTTAATAATTTGGGGACACAGTTTACAATTAAGAAGTTTTGGGTTGTTTTTCATACTTATGTAAAAGTTAAAGGTTGTAAGATGCCTTGTTAATTCATGCTACAAATAAATATTCAATACTTCAAATATTCACTTGATTTCGGTGATTGTAGGTTATATAAATATTGTGACAACTCTTCTAAATTACTTGTTATTTACACCAAGTTTATCCAACTCAGTTAAATGTAATCACTTGTTATTTAACATTATTTCTATTTTGTGAGGCAAATATCTTATAAAAAAAATCCTTTGTGCGTTTCCACTTTTACCTATATTTATAGAACTAGAAAAAAAATGCCCGTGCATTAGAACGGGTAAAAGCGTTTTTTAGTGGTACAACAACTATTAGGAGCTGAAAAACAAATTGAAATATTGAGATCGCTATTAATTATAACTAAAAAAGTTAATGAAAATCCTTCCTTGGTTTTGGACCGATAGCCCATTCATTCGTTCCTTTTTAGCTCCAATCCAGTCCGCTACCTCCCTCCGCTCGGCCTGCCTCTCTACGCGCATCCCAAGAGTGGAACCGCAGGCCTAGCTAGCATAGCTGGCATCTTCAACCTCCGAATACGTGCCCGTACGATGTCGGAGCCGATTCTTCCCATCAAATTTGGCCGAATACTCTCGATCTCCCAAAATTGGTTAAGGGCTTTTGATCCACTCGATCTTCTTTTTCCGTTTTCCCCAAAATCGGAACAAATCCGCAAAATTCAGGGAAAAAGGCCAGGGAAGCTCGCTGGCTGGCCATCATTGAAAATCAATTAAATCTTGTAAATTAATGCCGAATTGAAAGGGGAAATCATGGTGGAAATAATGAGTGGGGAATTGGAGGAGGAAACGTACGGTGAGGCAAATTGACATGGTGGCGACACTAGGGTTCGTCCCATGCAGGGCTGGAGGCGCGCTGTGAATGGGATCAGATGCGCGGTGACGTGGGATGACGGACAGACAAACAAGAAATTCCAGAATACTTATGTATTTTTTAAGTAGGTATAGATGTGTTTTTTACCACAAATCAAAATATAATAATTTCTCAAGCAAATATCTACTATACAATTTATTTGAGGTACACCCATTTTGTTTTAAAATAAACATATACATGCTAATTAATGCTCTAGAGTCATGAAAATATATTACCATCATAGCTTAACCTTAAAAATGTAAGTACTTTCTTTAGTTGTGTGGTGCAGATAAATGTTATAAGATTATGGTTTTTAGTTTGTCCACCCGGTCATCCCTAGCTACATCCATATCATACTTTGGATATGATTCCCATGAGGTGAGATCCATTATAACAAGCATTGATAGCTATGCCTATATATGTCTCTTATTAACATTTCATCTATATTATCTATTTGGCTGCATCCCCCATTCCCATGTCGCCCAGGTGAGACCCGGGAGGTGATGCTCGACACCACGAAACACCACCGCACCAGTCCACCTCATCGGCAGCAGCAACACCGCCGCCGGCACTGCACCCTTTTCTCCTTCTGTCCTCTTCTTATTTTTCTTCCCTCTTCTTCCTCCTTTTTTTTCCTTTCTCTCTCTCTTTCTTCTCCAGATCTAGATTCACCGGTGATCAGAGAGAGGAGCGCCCTATGGGGAGACTGGTCGGCCGATGGTTGGATCAATAGGGATGGCCTGTAGTGGCTACCTAACAGAGAGCCAACGCTTTTCATGACATTGGTGGTGGTGGAGGCTGGCTCATGCATATTATTAGGATAGCGACGGCACCAGCTCATGCAGGAAGCCGGCCGGTGGATATCCAATTATTGGCTTGGCCCATGGAGCCGCCCAGGCAAAGAACCATGATAGCAACAAAGGGGATAATGACCAGTAGGACAGCTATCGGATGGCACGTATGGTGCCCGCCTTTTGGAAGGTTGAACCGCTCTCCGTTGCCGACTAGGCCTACGGCATCTTGGCGGTATGGTGGTACATGGTGGCAGTGCGAGATAATTCCGCTTCTTCCTTCCCTACATCCACAGCCAGATCCATCAGTTGTAAGGGTGAAGCCAGGATAAATGGTCGATAGGGTCACTACTAACTGGTGTTTTTGATGCACCATTAGCTCTGCTAGAATTTTCTCCATCAGATGGGGTATTTTTCTTTCGACGAATTGCTCTATATTTTGAAGAATCATTACCGCTAGCTATTTTCTATCTGTTGCTTGCTATAGTATCTTTCCTAATTGTTAATTATGCTTTAACAAAACATTGTCACTAGAAATTAAGAGTGGTACGAGAGGTACACAGGAAATTGTTGGGGTCGACTGACCCCGATGGATGGCTATAGCATCACACTTGGTCAACAAAAAGCAGAGGCAACAGCGGGATGGCATAGCGGTTGCAAGATAGAGCTAGATCCGCCCCTTCCCTCCCTCTTTTGCTTGGCCATGTGTGATGGGGAGCCCCACGAGGAGGGCTGAGTTGCTCAGTGCTTTGGAGGAAGGCCAGAAAGTGGTGGTATTGGTGCTGATGATGTCTGAGTGTGGTTTTTGTGATAGAGTTTATAGAGCAACATATGACCGATTTCTGGCTGGACGATTCAAACATCAAAGTTTCTAAGTAGACAAGCGATGTGGCAGGTTGTTACTGCACAAGGATTCAACAATGACATAGAATAAGATTTGTAGTTTTTTAGCTTTCTTTCTTTGTCTTTTATCGTTCTTTCTTTCTTTTTTCGTTATGTTCCTCAGTCATGAGACTTAGTCTAAGTACTCTTGCCTGTCACATTTGGCTGTGTATATCCATTTGAGGATATAAAAGTCAGATTTCTATTTATTATCCCCAAAAAACATGCTTTTAACACTAGATAACCTACACCTCAATCTAGTAGTGTTTTCTAAGATAGTGGAGTATGGTACACATAGTTTGATTTTTGTTGGGAAGAAGCACACTGGACAATTTGGGTGTTCTTTGTGGCAAAGCTGTAATTTCCAGATTGAATCAGCAGAAATGTCATCAAGGTATGACATATGACACACCAATTCTAGTTATATCTTCTTTTAATTTCCTGAGATAATGCAATATGGTACATGCATAGTCTTACCATTGTGAGGTAGAAAGCCAACCAGAAGGGTGGGGACGGGAGAAGGTTGGAGGTGGTGTACTTTTGGTGGTAAGATAATCTCCGGATTAATTTGATTCAATATAAGTTATGTCAAAGTATGACAGCAAATGTTGCAATTACATATTACCGATGGAAAACTATATCGAGCCTCTTCAAGAAGGACTTCAGTGATGCAAAGGTTCTTATATTTTCCATGCTTCTTCTCTCTACATCTTCTTCTTGTTTACTAGCATAGTACCATATCATAGCTCTCTTTAGAATACTCATAAATTTGAGGATAGACATAGTAAATCGTGGATCCCAATGATATGATATAATTACATATTTTGATGCTATTGTTGTTGCTATCTGACACATCTACTTGATTTGGTTTTTCTTCATATAGTTGCATATGTTATTTACCTTGAAACCCACTAGGTTGACTTTATCAAATTAATTGATTGTTATAATCATGTAGATTAGCTATGATCATTTCTAGATATTGTACTTAATGTATGGAATAACTTGGACATCATTTTTTAAGATGTATATTACCACACTATTTCTATACTTGTTTCATATTTCTCTTAATAAGTCATATGACTCATACATTTTTTGACAAAACATATGGCTCATACATCATACTCTTTATAAATTATGACGCAACATAATCATATATATCTACATTTGCATTCAATGCTATTTACATATAATCAATTTTATTGTTCTATTTTGTTTCATTGAGATGTGAGGTTGTGCCCTCTCCAAAAAAAATAAGTACCATACTTTGAAAGCGTTGATT